GGTCTTAGCTATACAGTCTGGTTCGGAAGCTGGATTGGCTCTCACGGAACCTAGATTGTCAGTATATCAGAGGAAAATCACAACTTATCTTGAGCCTTTGATCGGTTGGTTACCGTGGGGATCTATCATCTCCTCGCGTATATGTCTACTGTAGACTCTCTCTTCATTGAGACTACATCCATTCCTTGTCATTATGTTCTCTCCCTTCGATTAATCACCGTTAGATCCGCCCCTCTTTGTTTCCGTTCCCTGATTGGGTTGGATTGTTCGACTTCTTTATGTGTCCCTGTATTTTACGTAGTGATATGATTCATGCGCCTGATATTGTTGTTGATCTAATAATTTTTCTATCGCCATGTTACAGTAGCTATATCGGCGTCAATGTACAGTGACCTAGACATCGCGATGAGAATGCAGTTTTTCGTGACTTCCGGTCTATAAGAACGTCTGACTGTCACTTCTCTCTAAGTCTTTCGTGTTATATACTGTGGACCGGTGGCAAGGCAGATACTGCAGCTCTTCGACTATCCTTGATCACCCCGATATCGCACCTCCCACCCATGAGATGGGTTCTCGAGAGCGTCGAGCTGAACGATACTGACTCATGTGCTTCGTTGAGATGCGACGACTTGCTCATCGAGATATGTCAGATGTTGTCTAATATGCCTTGACACGAAAGGAGTCGGGTATTTATGTGTTTATGCATTTCATTCTTCAGGTCTATTGTCTATGTTTATATCAACCAGATCACTATAAACCAAGGAACCCCCCGCATCGTCCTCGAATTACTTGTTGTTGGTGCTGGCGGCAAGACCGACTCTGACACCGTTAGAGTAGTCGTAGATCGAGTACCAAGACTTCAAAAAGGCATCTCCGACGATGGCGAGGTTATCGGGAAACCCATCGCTCACCGCCAGTACCGCGCCAACGCACATGCTGGATCCGGAAGAGGTTTTACCCAAGTTGAAGTCGACGGGGTTGAGGGCGAATGCCTTGCCGTTGAACCCCAGCATGACGTTGGCAGAGCCTTTGCAAGGGTATTGGTAGAATCCGTCCCCATATTGGTCTGCTCGGGATGAGCCGGGAATCTGGGAGTAGAATTGGTCGGCGATTGCAGTGGGAACGTAGATGAGGGTGGTACCGGTGTCGACCGCCTGAACAGCAAGGAAAGCTAGTCAGTATATAACAAAGAAAGGTGCAGAGCCGAGAGGTCACACTCACTCCGATCAATGACGAGCTAAGAGCGTTGGATCGTCCGCCGTTTGCCGAGAATGAAGTCATCGAGACCGACCAGTAAGTCTGCGAGATGACCGGAATCCAAGAGATACCTCCGGTAAACTTGGACGAGTCGTAACATCCGATACAGAGCTGTGATCCTTGAGCCTGTCGCCTGGTCAAGTGGAATCCGAACAGGGGCGATGAAACAGACTTTGTGCTGATCAGGTTCTCAAAGTAGGTGGCCTTGCCCGAACTCGAGATCGAGGAGAAAGCCATACCCAGGACACCCGAGTTGGGGTTACCCTGAAAGTCTGACGATTCGGACGAGACGGCGCCGAAGTATTGGCCACTGATCTGGGTGTTGGCGAGCGAGACGGTCTCCTGGGCGAGCACGCCGCTGACAGATCCGGACCCGTACTCGACCGAGAAGGACTGACCGGTCGATCTGAATGTGCTGGATCGGGAAGAGTCGAACTGTTGGGTCTGGCAGTTGGAGCATTTGACAGGGAGCTGCATGCAGTTTAAAAAACAGCCAATGGTCAGCTGCGTGATGAGGAGGAATATGCGACTGGTACCAAGAACGAAGCTCACCCAAAGATCAGCACTGCCAGTATCAAAGTCGACGGTCAAAGACTGCATAGGTGAGCCGATACCGACGTTCCCGTAGTACAAGACGTCGAGCGATCCAGACATGTAGTCGGTCAGAGGCACGACCGGACTTCCGCTGGTCCTGCTCCTAATGGCCAGATCGCCGAGACCGCCGGGCAGATGAGCCGAAGCCAGAGTAGGGAGCGAAGCCACGGTGGTAGTTGACGAAGTCGCCGTGGACTTAGGGAGGAACGACGAGACCGAAACTGTGTTGGAGGAAGGCACGGTCGACGGTCGATGGGAAGAGGTGTGCGAGCCGATCAAGGGTGCCAAGAGCGGAGCGCCGACATGGTTGAAGACGTCGTCGGTATCAACTACTGCTGTAGCGGCGATAGCTGGTGCGGCGGAGCTAGACGAGGGTTTGATCATGGTCGAGACGGTATTGCTGACCACAGGAGTGTGTGCGACAACCGTCACTCCGGTGGCATAGCTCTTGGGAACCGTGGTGGAGCTGATTAGCAAACTACTGCTGCTGCTGCTTGAGATCGAAATCGAGGTAGGGCCGGCACTAGTCGAAGATGCGGTGGTAGAAGATGCGCTCTTCGACTTGGCCTTTGAAGCGCTCTGAGCAGCTTGGACGGGGAGAGCGGCCGACGGCTGTTGGAACGCAACGTCGGCCTCGGCCACCTGGACTCCGGAGAGGTACTGAGCGGCTTTGGCATACTTATTCTTGACTGCCTGTAGTTCATGCCTGACTAGCTCGGCAGCTTGAGAGTCGAAGATGGGGATATAATCGTCCGTTCGAGCTGAGAGGATCGGGTGCGAGAGCAGAGGAGATCGGTGGGTGATGGGGAGGATGTTGTTACCTGTCCCGGCTCGAGGGAGGTTCGGGCTTCCGGCGGGAAGAGGGGATGAGAGGGCCGAGGGGATGAGGGAAAGAGCGAGCAGAAGGGAAGGAAGCTGAGCAGAGTGCATTGTGGGTAAGTGGTGTCTGGTTTGTTTTGTCGAGCTAAAGAAGCTATGTTGTAAGTCGTGATTGGTTGGCTTGGATGAGTTCGGATAGACTTGTTGAGAGCTGATGAGTTGTGTTGTGGTTGAGAAAACCTACTTGGACCTCGACGGAGCTGGCTTGATATACCTGTCCATCTCAATACAGCCACCTCCGTGTGAGAGCCACCCACACACTCCAACACCACTACATGCCTCTTGCAGATGAACCACTCACCTTCAACATGAGCGGTTAAAGTCGAAATAGATGCCACTTCTGCTAGATTGGCACGATAGGGGATATACCGTGCCATGCGATCAAGGAAAAGATAACGGAAAGGGCAAGGAGGTCAGTCGAGATCGTAATCGCCTCACCCTGAATCCCTCATATCGGAGTGGGCTTGCCCCATTGGGAGGCGCATCGGTGTACAGCCCAGTCGAGATCGTAATCTCTCTTCCCTGAGTTTCTCGGCAATCTCCAAGCATAAGGTCAGTCGAGATCGTAATGCCGCTTCCCTGAGGCCCTCATCTCGGAGTTGATTTGCGCTTCTTCAGAGCTCCGCGACGCGAATGCGGACAGCAGGCTGGTTTAGGACCGGCCCATATGGAAATTTCAGCTTAGTGATCCAGACGGTCAGGAGTGATCAGTCCAACCGCCGCTTCGGTGACAAAAAGCGCAAGGGACGCCGTGCCTCGGAGAAGGCTTGAAGCGCAAGCAAAGAGTGGCAACATATACATAGCTCATTTGACAGAGTTGTTGGTATCGGAACAGGACCTTGATCAGTAGATCATCGCAATAGGTGATATACTATGCGTTTAAAACTCAGGCCGATCGATGACCGGCACCAGGAGAGGCAGCACAGAGGAAAGCCTGCTCTCGTGAAGAGCACAAGGACAGCGCGACCCTACGGCTCTTTATCGGTTGTTCTGGTTGTTGAGCTACAGTATGTGGGGAAGAGCGCAAGTCAGCACGTCAGGTCACCATCTACCGTCGTACCCCAACGCCTTTGCCTTGCCACTCACGATGCGCAGAATGCTCAGGAACAAGTTGAGAGCGTCAAGATACAGCTGAAGTGACGCGAGAACGAATTCATCGGGAGAGAGTCGCTTAATGATCATCTGAGTGTCATAGAGGATGAAGCCTGAGAACAGGAGGGCGGAGAAGCAAGCGATGCCGAGATCGACGCCAGCATTGAATGGTAGGAAGATTTGAACAAGCGAGGCGGTAAGCAGACCCCAGATGCCGACGAAGAGGAACGGGGCGAACGAGGAGAAGTCGAACTGTATGAGGAGATCATCAGCATGAGTTGCGTCGGATGAAGAGGTGTACAGATAACTCACTTTTGTTTGGAAGGTGAACAACGTGAGACCGACGAAGATGCCGAGGGTGAGGAAGAGAGCTTGAAGTACCTGCTCGAACGGTCAGTAAGAGATCATGATAGAAGTCATGAGAAATTATGAGAAATCATAAAACAAGGTCAACTCACAATCCTGCCCTCCACCAAACTGGTGACGAATCCCACCGTCATAGCTTCAAACAAGGTAAAGACACCCAGAAGGACCAGGTTCGCAGGAGAGTGGTGTCGCTTCCAGTACACAAGGAAGAGCGATACCATACTGCCGATCAGAGGGATCCAGAGGATCCAGGAGTGTTGCAACGTAAATTCGGACACGACAGGGAGCGACATGCCGAGGGCGACAAGGGCAGTCGCCAGCACCTGTACGAGGAGGATGGAGTAGACCTTCCTGATGAACGCGAGTCGGATCTCGGTATCGCAATCGATGACGTTTACTCCGACCTTGAAATCATCGGGAAGGTCATCAGGCGAGCCTTCATCCATCCAAGCGTTTCTGGATGAACCGGCCTGAGCGGCGAGAAGGGGTTCAGTAGCAGGAGCATCGGCGGGAGTAGCGCCGTAGTTCTTCTTGGCGGGCAACGGTCCCGCTTGGGGTGCAGGGTTATCAGTGTAGCGGGGTGGCGAGGACATAATAGCTGTCTGTGTTTCTATTGCTCGGCGATTTGTTGTGTGAGAAAAGAGAGATGGAGAAAGATTGAATTTAGTTGGATACATTGATGAAGAGGGGTTGTGTGAACGAATCGCGGTGGCAACAAGAAAGGACCGGAACAGTCCAGATGACGATGGACCGGTCTCGCAGATGTGTGTTTGATGGTTTATGTTTGTGTTTCATCCGCCCAAACATGCGATGTCCTCATCGTCTAGTCTGGTTAGGACGTTACATTGTGGTGGTTACACGACAATTTCTGTGGAGGCAGCTGTTCGAATCAGCTTGGGGACATGACTTTTTGGCTCCTTCTTTCTCCGACGTCTCGTTCATCTACGCTTACGACATGCGGTAGCTACCACGTTGGTTGTTGAGCCTTTTCGCTTGTATCTGTTGTTTTTTGTTGATTCATATATCACCTATCACCCAACTAAACCTTCGATGCACAAAGCGTGTATTGTATGCCCAGAAGGATCGTCCTTGTTCTTCCCTCACTCTCATTGGCAGCATCAACACGACCACGGACACTACCTCGTAACATCGAACAAGTGCTATCAAGTCGTGGACCCTACAGGAACATCTCCTTTCACACTGAACTTCTGGGGACACGATCCATGACGCATTCCGTCTTACCCCTTCCATTGAAGCGACCTCGGACTACCTCTCAGCCTTCTTCTCCCACATCATCTTCTTCGCCCAAACGCGCCGCATCCGAGGATCCCTTCGCCTCGAGCTCCGATTCCGGCAGACCCGATCCCCTCAGCTCTTCTGGCCTCGCGCTCGGCACGACTTCAATGGCTGGAACAAGCAGTCCCCTCAGGTTGGATGCGGACGCCGAAGTGGACGCTGGGTCAGAAGGAAGTCGAGGCTGGGTCCAACGAACCCAAGAGGTGAAACTCGCTTCCTCTGACGATGGAGATGAGGAAGGTGATAGGACTGTTGTTGCGGAGGGGCAGGACGGCCAGGAAATATGGCAAGCGAGATACAACGAGCTGCTAAGTGAGTGCAGACTTATTCTGTTGGAAAGTTAATGGAGGACCAACTATCATTCATGAAGGTGAGCAGGACTGACCACAGTGAATTCACTGTCAGGCGATATACCCCCACCCTTCAAGCCCTATGAGCGATACTTTATCCTCCCAAATGCCGCTATCGATAAGGTCAAACAGCTCGCTTTCGGTGCAGGCGACGACGAGGCAACAACCTCCTCAGTCTCGGGTCCGCACTCTCAAGAACTAATCAGTGCTATGAAGCGCCTCATCCCCGACGGATCGGATGAGACATTCTGGGTGATCCAGTCGGAAACTACTTCGACTGGATCTAAGCTGGTTGGCAGAGGAAAGCAGGAGCAGGTGTGGGCATTGGGTGATGCCAGAGAGCACGATGATTTCGTATTCGTCACAAGCTCAGGGTGGAATAAGATTGTCGACTGGTGAGTCGCCTTGGAGGAGGGAAAGCGATTGCGAGCAGACGCTGATCAATACATTTTCGTAGGCTCGGTCCGTATGATGGTCCATCGTTGCCTCGTTACTGCGTGCCTCCCGAAAACATCGAGATTCAGCCTGCGACTATCCGACTGTTCGTTCTGCTTCCTTCGTCCAGTACCGCCGACAACCCTTCCAACGACGAGGCTGCTCAAGTTGAGCTCATGTGCCCAAGTACGACCCCTATCCTTACGTTCAAGGAATTCGTGCGGTCCGTGGTCGCTCAAAAGCTTGGGAACGCCAAATTCGACTCAACTTGGTTTTCAAGGTTATGGAAGATCGAAAAGACTGGCGAAAACGACGAGAAGATCTTGGCTTCCGGTGCTCTCATCATCTCAGCTTCTGCTTTGGTTGAGACCACATGTCAGATCCTCCCATCAGATGACGACACAGCGGACCTCGCGGAGACCGTCTTAGGGAGCTCGAAGTCGCAAACGGTTGTCGTGGAGTTCGGCAAGCAAGAGAATGGACAAGTCGTCTGGAATGTTGACGTCAGCTCAGAAGGACGAGCTGTTCAGAAGGTTACGAAGCCAGCTCCACTTTTCTCTCGACCCGCCTTTTTCACCGGTTCCGGCACAACAACGAACGGTGCCTCATCATCCACTTCATTATCCGCTTCGACATCTAACGGAGGAGTGCAGACCAGGAGTCACAGTAGACAAGGTAGGAGTGGAAAGGGCTTGATCGGACTGCAAAATCTGGGAAACACGTGTTTCATGAACAGTGCAGTTCAATGTCTGAGCAATACTCAAGAATTGAATGAGTATTTCCTCTGTGAGCTCTTTTCCTGGTCCGTCAACTGCAGTGTCATACTGACACTCTCATCATTCGTATAGCTGGAGTTTATAACAGCGAGATCAACCGAGATAACCCCCTTGGTATGGGCGGACAGATTGCCAAGGCTTTCGGCGAGGTCATCGAGAACCTTTGGGCACCTAGCTCGAGCTCTTACGCCTCGTTTTCACCTCGTATGCTCAAGGGAACTACATCTAGGTTCGCGCCCCAGTTCGCAGGTTACGGGCAGCACGACACACAAGAGTTCATTGCTTTCCTCTTGGACGGTTTGCACGAAGACCTGAACCGGATCATCAAGAAGCCATACATCGAGAAACCCGACTGGAAGGCTGGAGGGGGTGATAAGGAACTTGCTGAGCTTGGCAAGGAATGTTGGGAGGGGTACAAAAAGAGAAATGATAGTGTTATCGTCGACTTGTTCCAAGGACAATTGCGGAGTACCCTTGTGTGTCCTGAGTGTCACAAAGAGTCGATCACCATGGATCCAGTAAGTTGACGGATCCATCTTCCCGCACGAACAAGAGCTCAGCTGACGACTACGTTCCAGTTCATGTATCTGACTGTCCCTCTGCCTATCGCTCAACATCGACGGATGAAGATGACTTTCGTGCCGCGCGACGTGGGGAAGCCTCCTGTCAATGTTAACCTGCTGGTGCCTCAGAACGCCTCCTTCGCTCAGATCAAAGACAAGCTTTCAGCTATTGTCGGGTCAAAGCCTTCCCATGTAAGTGACCTTGCTCTGGCGCCGTCAGATGTTATACAGCCCAACTGACGGATATTTGCCGTCAACCTAGCTGCTCGGATTCGACCTATGGAACGGCTACCCCTACCAGTTCTGGCTGGACCCGGACCACAACAGCGAGGCGAAAGACAGTGACCAAATCATCTTCTATGAGGTCGACGCACCTGTGGTGGCAACCCGAAAAGCTTTGGGCACGGTCCCGACTGATGGCTCCATCACGGTGCCAGTGTACTCCTTCAAGACTGTCGAGCACTATCGCGGCAGTGGCTATCACCGAGGTCACGACGTACCGTCACAGAATCACTTGAAGCCCTTCTTCATCACACTCTCGAAACAGGAAGCGACCGATCCGGCAGCCGTCCGAGAAGCCATCATGCAAGGGTACACTCGGTTTGTCAGACCTGAATACCAGGATCAGCTGTACGTCCATGCTTCGAGCTCCAAAGCGGCGATCCCCAAGTCACCAAGGCCCGACAGCGAGGACGCCGTCACGGAGATTCATCTGAACGGGGACCAAGCGACAGTAGTTGAGGTTGCCTCGGACCAAACCGATTCCATTATGGACGTCGACTCGCCTAACAACTCCCAGGTCCCCGCTTCGACCATTACTGGGCTTCACTCTGGCGCTTCGACCACATCGCTTATCAGTCAAGCTTCAACTTCCGGCCGGTCTGCTACTGGTTCCATTTCTGGGCCCCTCGTCCCACGGACTGATCTCTTCAAGGTGCACGTTGCCGACCCAGCCGGTGACTTCACCTTCAAATCCAAGGACAAGGATAATGTCGTTCAACCCATTTACAAAAAGGAACCTTCTGGCGCTTCGCACAGCTGGTCACCCCTCGAATCGAGGAAGAAGAAAGCCAAAAAGCATATCGTAAACCGACTCACGTCCAGTATCAGCTCCATCGTCAGCCCATCATACGCATCGGAAGACGAGGAGACCGCCTCAGATGCATCTACGCTTGCGCAGAAGGCGGCTCCGGTCATTCGACCCGGAGAAGGTATCTTCTGTGAATGGTCTGCCAAGACGTTCGAGGAATGGCTTGAGGCCGATAAGATGGGTGACGACGTCATTGACCCTGCAATCGAGAAGGAGTTGGCGAAGAAGCAGCAAGGCAAGAGTATCACTATAGAGGACTGCCTTGATGAGTTTTCAAAGGAGGAAACCCTCGGGGAAGACGATCTTTGGTACTGCCCAGTGGTGAGTCCGCTTTGTTTAGGTGGAATGATTGGTATGCTAACGCTATCTGGCTAACCGCAGTGTAAGAAGCATCAAGCGGCGACAAAGAGACTGGAGATCTACAAAGCTCCTGATATTCTGGTCATCTGCATCAAACGATTCGGTTCTGCTCGAAGAATGGCGGACAAGTTAGATCACCTCGTCCAGTTCCCTGTAGACGGGCTCGATCTCGGAGACCGAATAGGAGAGCGAAAGGTTGCGAAGAGCCTCAAGCTGAATGGTGATCGATTAGAGGACTACGGTATTGAGGAAGAGGCCGAAGAGATGGTCTATGATCTCTGTAAGCCTTGGACCTTTGACCTATCCACAATTACGCCACATGTATGCTGATATAAGTGAATCAGATGCTGTGGACAACCACTTCGGCGGTATGGGTGGTGGTCACTACACCGCGTTCTGCCGGAACAAGGTCGATGGCGAATGGTACAACTACGATGACTCCAGAGTAACCAAGGCGGATGCCTCGTCTGTTCAGGTGAGCTCTATTCCTTCTAATCGTGCATGGATGTCCCAGCTAACGACTGTGTACAGAGTCGCGCCGCGTACCTGCTTTTCTACCGCCGAAGGACGAATAGGCCCATCGGTGGTATTTCACGAGTCAAGGCGGAGGTGTGTTCAATTTCTTCCCTTCTGCGCGTCAGGAAAGGCACGGTCACTGATCTATACTCTTCTACAAACCTTAGGAGGCTTCCCGCGCCGCTTCGCCCATGCCACCTTCTCCCGTGGGAGAATCATCGACTCTTCCCTCCTCGACCTATGCTTCTGGCTACCCTTCGCCTTCGCTGGACACATCATCTGATGAGCTTCCCTCGTATTCCGCTACGGGCTCTCCTGCGACGCCCTTGCCGCCTAGCCCGACACTCAGTGCTGACAGCTCCGATGACGAGCTTGTTCGAGGTAGGGCCGACACGTTGACTGCGCTCAATCTCTCCTCGGCAGGGCAAAGCGTTGGCTTTGGTAACACAGCCTGGGGCGTAAATGCCTCCCGATCGACAGATGTCAGTCATTCCTTTGGTCTCGGTACAAACCGAGA